CTCTCCAAACAAATTAATCCACCAGGCCGCGGTGTCCACCATATTTCTTTGGAATTAATGCGTTTTTAGGCAAATAATTTATCTTCATTTGAGGAATGCGTAAAATAGTTTTAAGCATTCTGTCTTGTTTATCTTGTGATTAATAATCATAAAACCCGTAAAAAAGTGAAAAAAAGAAAACTGGACCACTTATAAGTTTGCGTGTCCGATTTTTCCATTTTTGCACACAAATAGTTCAGTTTTTCGTAAAGTATATGAGAGTATATTTCAGCCATTTATTTTTTTATAATTTGTGAGTAATGAACAAAAAACCACAAATTTATGTTGCATTCAGTTTACGCGGGCTTATGCTCCTAGCCTGTGTGCAAAAACTTTCAATGTTTCTACCAAGTTCAAAGTCGACATCTTCATTTTTGCACAGACGCACTGACCAGCAGATATGACTTAATCAATTCAGAGTCAGATCCCGGTCAAGAATATATATACTTTATATCGTTTCTAAAGCTTCTATATTATTATTAGATTTATTTATTTATTTATTTTAATTCTAGTTATACGTGAAACTCAACTAAACAAATAATAGTCGAGTTCAATTGGCACTTATAGCCAAACTTATATTAATTAATAATAATAATATTATTATTATTATTATTATTATTATTAGTATTATTATAATTTTAGACTAATGAAATATATTCTTGGACTAAAAAAAGGCATTGAGCACTAGCAGCACAGGCTATCGGCTCTAATATAAATAAATGTACATTAGATAATCAGCTTAGTAGTATTAATAAAGTAATATATTGAATTCTGAATTGAGTTCTGAAGCTGATTTTAGAATGTCCAAAGGGTTAGTCGCTCCAAATGCAATACTTCTAGCCAAGGAAAACTTAAGACATTCGCAGAGAATGTGCTTTATAGTAAGAGTTTGTCCACAACAGCAGATTAGGGAAGAAGACTTCTTCAGGATCCATTGGCGAGTTGCGATAGTATGACCAAGGCGAATTCTCGAAAATGTTTGGATCTTGGTTTTCTCAACGTTTGTTGGACATAAAGGTGGAATTAATTGAGGGTTAATGAAAGAGTAGTGTTGATGATGGCGTTGTAAATTTCCTTTGCAATTTTCGCTTTAACTTTTCTCCCAATGTATTTTTGAAGATCCAACTCTTCCATGACATCATCCATAAGTAGAGGAGCTGAAGCAGCATACTCTGCCGCTCGATCAGCCTGCTCATTTCCCAATAAACCGATATGACTTAGTACCCATAACATTTTAATTTTTCCGTCGGGCGTAGTAATTATATTTCTTAATTTGTTGATGGTGGTCCATCTCGAAGTCGAAGGGTTCCGAATAGCTTGTAATACAGACAAACTGTCGGTGACAATGACGGTTTTGAGTTTGCTTTTATGGGCAAGGTTCGCAGCGTGAAGGATAGCTCTGGCTTCGGTTGTGAACGTTGAAGTACTTTCGTGAAATATGTGATTGAGAAGAACCTGTCCTGTAGCATCTACCACGGCACAAGCAGGAGGCAGGCCAAAAGATTTTGAGCCGTCTGTGTATAAAAGATTCCAACCAGTACTCTCCAATAGTTGGGTTTTTTCAGCTATCAGATTCCTGAAGACGTAAATTGGAGTATGTTCTTTTTTGTGCATAGACAGCGAGATGTCAAAAGAGCAGTCTTTCATAATCCATGGAGGTTTAACACCAAAAGAGCGGAAAATTTTTAAGGGAATATTTAATTCCTTTGCGACGTACAAGCATTGGTCAATTGCAGATGGTGACTTTGGAATTTTCTTCGCAATAATAATCTTTTTCACGTCATCACCAACTTAGTATAAGTACAATAAAATAAATAAGAAGGAAAAAAAAGTATGTACACAATCAGCATAGAGCCACACTTACAATCGGTACAGGACCAAATTGCAAATGAGCCCGTAAGCCATCGCAAACATGCATAAGCCTGGCCTAGTTAACAACAATTCATTTTCGAATCGTAAAATTATAAAAGCAAGCGCGGACCTAGCTTTGCTAATCGAAAACTCAATATTCAAGTTGAAACGTAACCTGTGGTCAAATAGAACGCCTAAATCTGTGATCGAATCGACGTCCTCCAACTTATGCGAATCTATGAAATACTAAGTAATGAATGACTTTCTTCTTGATAAAGAAAGAAAGTTTCTTACATTAACTCAGATTTAGTTTCAGAAGATTCAAAGAGCACCATGCAACAAAATTATCCAAGTCACCTTGAAGCTGATGTGATTGCGATTCAACAGAGAAGGAAGAAAACAGTTTTACATCATCAGCATACATTAAGATCTGGCTGGAATTAACCACCGATGAAAGATCGTATATGTATAAACTAAATAAAATGGGACCTAAGTGACTTCCTTGAGGTACGCCTGACATAACGGGGAATTCATCCGAGATGATGGAGTGAAACAAAAGCCTGAAGGATCTATTGTGCAGATAAGAGCTTATCCATTTCACTAAATAGAAAGGGAAGCCAGAGGCTTGGAGTTTAAAGATAAGTAAGTTATGGTTAACCACATCAAACGCTTTACTTAAATCAGTGAATATAACATTTGTGCGAGAGCCACTAGAAAAAGCCTTGAAAACACGACAGGTAAACTCTAACAAGTTGGTGACTGTTGATCGCCCTTTCCGAAAGCCGTGCTGGTGCGGAGAAATATACGAATTAATTGTAACAGCCAAATGCTTAGTCACAATACGCTCGAACAACTTGGGCAAGACACTCAACTTGGCTATGCCTCTGTAGTTCTTAACAAATTGTGTACTTCCACTTTTGTGGATGGGAATAAGGAAACTACTCTTCCAACATGAAGGGAAAGCACCTAAATTCAAGGACAGGTTAAAAATCTTTGAGATGACACCACATAATTCGACAGTGGAAGATTTAAGTACACATGTTGGAATTCCATCAGGCCCAGGCGCACGACTATATTTTAGAGAAGTCAACTCTTTAAAAACGTCATCTTCCGAAATAACCAAGTTAGGAATTGAAACCAAGTTAGTTATAAGATATGGGTAGTTTGCTGATAAATCGAAATTAGCAATCGAAAAGTTCCATCGGAAGTACTCAGCAAACAGATTTGAGATTTCAAAATCATCCGAGCAATCAGAGTTATTAAAGGAAACATGAGAGGGATATGTGAAAATTTTTCTTTTAGAGTTAACGAATTTAAAAAAGTATTTAGGATTAGCAAACAGAGAGGATTTAATGAACTGAAGGTATCTGCAGTAATAATGGTGGTTGAGGGAGTTAAGTCTATGCCTCGCCACCGAGTAAGCGGAATAGTCGAGCGCAGAGCCACTTTTCGAATATTTTTGAAATAACTTGTTTTTTCTATTGTTGTAATATTTAATTGTCTTATTAAACCACGAGGGACACCTGCTTCGAGATCGTTACTGCTTGATCGGAACAGATGCAGCAACAGCTAGATTTAATGTATTGGAGAGCGATGACAATAAGCTTTCAATACTTTCGGTTGAGAAATCTCATATGTTTTAGCAAAACAATATTGATTTTATGAAAATCATAATAATTATTTAAAAGAGTTTGATTTGGCACATTAAGGCATTTCAACAAACCATCATTAATATGATGAAAGGAAATGCATATTGATGGATGATAAGGATCCTCAGGTAAACTAAAAGGTGGACAACGATTTACGTAAATCTCGGGAAAATTGGCAAAGCAGAGATCAAGCAGTCTACCATTACACTTAGGGGTACGATTATATTGACCCAAATTATGATCAAACAATTCATTAAAGAATACAACAGCCCTATCAGACGTTGAAGTAGGAATCAAACAGCCAGAATTATCACGGTTACACCAAGTGACTTGAGGCAAGTTGAAGTCCTCCAATGCAACGACCAAATCGATGGGTCTAGACCGCTTGGCCACTTCACAAATGTGGGCGGCCCGTTGCTTGTAAATGGAGATATCAGAATTTGGGGGAATATAGGTGCAGGTTATAAAAAACTGTTTATTAGGCATTTTCGCACGAATGGCGATAAATTCAACGTCAGGAAAAGAGGGAAATTCTATTGAATTGGACGGGACTGACGCAAATATGGCAATTAATACACCACCACCAATGCGAGTCACTCGATCATTTCTAAAGACTTGGAAAGAATTGTGAAAAAGTTCCGACGAATGAAGATCGGGTTTTAGTCGAGCTTTAGTGAAGGCACTCCGTGCTCAGTGAATTTAGAAAAGTAGAACGAATTTTTGAATTTAGGCCCCGAACATTTTGATAAATGGGAGATAATGGGCCTGAAAAAAAATGTAGTTTTTTGAAGGCGACAAGACTGACTGCTTTGATATTACGGGGACGATCTCGAGGGATAAATTCCTTAATTGAGGATCCTATTGATTACAGTGGCTCGTTTAACAACATACCGCTGTTTTCAGTCGGAACTAGTCTTTTAAAAGAGGAGATTGCCCTAGATTGAGAAGGAGCCATTTTGAAAATGCTAACTCGCTTTAAGTTGACTGATTGGGCTTTCGCCGCCAGATAACTTTTAATGTTATTTACCGATGTTTCAGGTGCCAGTCTTGACACAAATATTGCTTTTCTGGGAGGAACTGCCGTCAAGCAAATGTCATTACTTGGAACAGGCGGGTTCACGGTTGGGGAGTTTAGAGTTGGGGAGAATACAGATGGCGTTATCGCCCTTGCTTGTACGACTTGCCCAGGATGATGAGCAGCATCTTTTTGTATGCTGCATTTTAGTGTACTCTGTCCTTCAGTGGTAGGTATAAAAATGTACCCTATTTTTAAAACTTAGATAATAAAAATTTTTCATTTCAAAATCGATTCTATGCTATATTGCACTTTGATAGGCATCCATCCCTGTGAAAATACTTTTTTCCAACTGGTTTTTAATGTTTTGATTTTGTTTTGTGAATTCTTTTATAATTAATAATTTCTTTTACCCTCATATTGTGTTGAAAAACACTTTTGATAAGATGGAGGAGCAGAAAAAAGGTAAATATTGGTTTTGATCGTAAATATCGGCGGATTGGCATCATAAAGGGACTGACCTTCATTAGGAATATAACACTTTGTTTTTACAGTACCTCGTCCTGACCCAATTATAATACACTTGGGTGACATGGGACGCTATCAGTTCCTCTATTGTATGCTGATATTTTTATCGAAATTTCCTTCTGGATGGGTGACAATGTCGCATATCTTTTTGAGCGCTAAGGGCGAATATTATTGTGAAAGCGGGAAGGACGTGGACCCCTGTACTGATAAATGTAAATCGGCTACGTTTGATCGGACAATTTTTACCGACACAATTAATATGTCATTTGATCTCTCTTGTGATCGTTTCTGGCTTGCAAGTTTATCCCAATCTCTAGTAATGGGTGGCATTATGAGCGGTGCTATGATATTTGGAATATTATCAGATAAGTAATTACAGACAATTTTTTAGACAACTTCTTTAAAATACATACATCTTTCGAAGGAGATAACCTAGTCGAAGGCTTTATATATATAATCGAAACTAAGTAGAGCACACTTAATTAGAAATTACAGTCATTGGATAATTTTCGCTTCGATTTGTCGCTTTCTCATAGCAACCGCGAAATTGCAAGCGTTCTCACTTTCATGTCCAACGTACTTAAACACCATTCCCCACTATTTTTTTTCTAGCCATTATCGTGGTTATACGCAGGGCTTTGAAAAACTTTTTTGAAGGGCTGGTTGTATATATGATATGGGAACATAAAATAACCATTTCCTTTTTTTTCAGATATGGACGTCGTATAACGTTTATTATCGAATGTATAGTGCAACTGGTATTCGGCGTGGTAGCTGCATTTTCAGTAAACTACCCTATGTACGCCCTTTTTAGATTTCTGCATGCAACTGCTACCGGGGGGCAAATGACTACCAGGTTTGCTTTAAATTTCTTCATTAAGTATTTACATTTCTTAATGATTGCTGAACTTATAGCTTTGTCCTAATCATGGAGATTATTGGTCCCAAATACCGTGAGACTATGAATATTTTATATCAAATCCCATTTAATTTGGGTCACGCAACTTTGCCGTTATTTTCTTATTTTCTACGTGATTGGCATTACTTTTATCTAAGCTTTTCTTTGTTTTCAATTGTATACTTTATATATATATGCGTGATATTTGAATCGCCACGTTGGCTATTCACCACAGGTCGTTTGGAAGAGTCCATACCGATTGTCGAAAAGATCGCAAGAAGGAATGGCCGCCCTCCAGAAAATATAGAAAAAATACGACCCGAGATGGAAGCAGCCTTTCAACAGTTGGCATTGTCCGGTACTAAGAAGAAGAGCTCTATTTTGGATTTGTTTCGGACTCCGAATATCCGCAGAAATACCATAATTATGATGTATGAATGGTACAACGTGTGCATGGTTTACTATGGTTCCGCTCAATTTATATCAACATTAAGCGGCAATATATTCTTAAATGTATTCATTAGCGGCATATTAGGAGTGCCGGGCACAATTTTGTGCGTCTTTATGACAAAATATTTGGGACGGCGTGTAACAATGGTTATATCGAACGCAATAAGTGCTTGTGGGTTTTTGATGATTGCTTGCGTTACCACTTTAAAGCCGACAATGGTCGTAGTCTTCGCCATAGTTGGTCTCTTCGGTGCGTCAATTACTTTTCCGAATACATATATGTACGCTGGCGAAATATTTCCTACTTTAGTACGAACAACTGGTATGGGCTTGTGTTCATGCTTTGGTCGTTTCGGTTCGATGATAGCACCATTTATAACAAGTGATTTGGCTTTATATTCGCCCGTTATACCACCAATAGTGTATGCAGCTATTGCCTGTATTGGTTTTGTGCTTACATTCTTCTTGCCCGAAACAAAAGGTCGCAATGTGCCAGAAACTATAGAAGACGGCGAAGCCCTTCATTTTAGGAAAACGGATTAACAATAAGCAAACATGTCTAGTTGGCTTTTTCCATTGGCGGACCGTGGATGAAAATAGAATGGACTCTGCACCTAAAAATTTAAAGCTAATAAAAATAAATTAATTAAAAATTGAATTCACATTTTTTTCAGATTTAACTTAATTAACGTGGATTCACTCTAAAAAAAAAAAATTTAAATTTAATACGATGGCAAAATTGAGGAAATAATCGAAATGTTTTGTCCCACTTAGTCAAAGGCAGGGGACAGCGAAGTCAATTCTATATATCCCAGCAGAACGAGCAATGGAAACTACAAGGATTAAAGCAATGAGTTTTACTACTGCTTTTTCCGTGGTACGTATGGCAGCATGGCTGTATGAATTGATACCGGCTAGAATCGGCCGGCAATATCGACTTAATGTTGATTGAAAGTAGCAATTGAAGTGAATAGTTTTTAGAATTTCGAGTTTACTTATCTCCGTTTTCCGTAGATTTCTCGAATTGCAGTAAAACGACTTTTTGATTTGTTGGTTTTTAAAAATTCAACTTAAAAACATAAGCCTAGAGCTAAAAATTAAGGCTAATCTGTAATTCCCCATATTTTTATCGTCTACATTAAGTATATTGAAGAAAACAATTAAGAAAATGATATTTGATGGTGACCGAATCTTTTATATTAATCACCGCTGTGCCAATTTTCATCATAACACAATAAAACGAAGACTTTTCAAAGTTAAAAAACAAACATTTTCGAGAAAATACTCATATAGGGTACGGTTCAAAAAATAGGGCAAAGTGGTCCAGATTTGGTATAGTTAATTTACAAAGTTTATCTTAATCTTATCATTATGATCTGATGTTCACCATAAAGCTATGTGATTCGCTATATGAGAACTTGGAGTTTTTACACCAGTTTAGAATGCCGAATATTATTAATTAACAACTTGTGCCGAGAAATTTTGAAAATTGCAACCTTTTTCCATATAACGATTTTTCAAAATCGGGAGTTATATGGGAAGCGGTCGAAAAAATTGTCTGATCCAAACCATTTTCAGTAGCGTTCGTCTCTGGGTCAAGGCACGTCAATGTAACAACTTTCATCAAAATATTTCAAAATTTGCGACCTGCTTGAATATGGACAGACGTCAGACGGATGGAGGGACATACGGTTTCGATCAAGTTAGTAGATGATTCAAAATCGGTTAAGATAATGAAAGGTGCTCCTCAAGTCTTTCTGGATGATACATTCGTCCGCACTAACTTAATATACCCTGTACTACAAGTGGTGTGGGATATAATTAACTCATATAAATTCTTGCCGCTGGATTTCCGTAAAAATACAATCCTGGAGTACCAATTTTTGCCAATTTTCTATATAAAACTACTCTTATATGACCAATAAATAGTCTTGGCGAATTAAGTCGTTGAGAGTTCGTAGTTTACTGGCGTAAGTCAGTGCTCCAACATGACGTCAAAAGTAAAAAGTCTGTTAAGGTTATACCGCAAGATCTTCATGGCAAGCTCACTTAGATATTTTTTGAGGTTACATGATCATTGAACTTTTCCCGCCATTAATTTAATTTTCTCACGGGAAATGTGGCATTTTATTGAACCCATATATTGTTTAAATTGAAATCATTTAACTTTTCTCTATTATTCTATATGCAATGCCATTTTCATGCTCAAAGATGATATTTTCGGCCCACAAACCATACACAAAAGTTGTATACGTAAAAGATATTTAGGAGCATCAGATTTGTTTTCTTTACACTAAAGAGGCAGTAATTCCTATTTAAAAAGTTAGGTAATCCAATGATGCGGGAAATGTAACTTAGTGTTCATGGTTTTCTTAAGTTTACCCGAAATGTCTGCGCTGCACTGCCGGAAATGCGTTTTATGTATGTTTACTTTCGGAACGACAAAATGGATGATCAAAAAGCTTGCAAGTGCGGGGCGAAAGCAAGATCACGTACCTGATCCTTGCAGACGTTTTATAATATTTCTGGTTTTGTAGTAAAACTCTCTTTGTTTCACAAAAGTATGTTATTTTAAAAAAATTATAAAAATTATTTTAGTTATACTGCTTCCTCTTTAAAAACCCGTGATACGAAAAAAATGTTTGAACGCTTCAAGTATCTGTATACTGTTACACAACTATGTTGATATATGAAAATCAAATTCCTTTATTACTGAAAATTTTCCCACGCCCACAAACATCTTTTTATATCATTTCTACATAATTAAGGGATCATTTAAAACAAAAAAGAGAAAATTGATGTTTGAAAAATCAATAACAAATAAATTTTGCAACGTTATAAAAAATGGTTCGTGTCTAGGCTTTATGCGTATATTTTCTACAATAAAGTTTTTTTAAATTGAAGCTGCTTACCGTTCATGTTAAATTTGAAGCTTTGATGTTTAACAGACTTTTTCCAGAAAGTACTTTTTAGACAAAACGAAAATGACAAAGCTCGATATTTAACATTTGTGTGCTCTTTAACTTTGTATAAAACATCTCTGTACGTAAAAGCGTTTCTTCATTATATCCTATAGCACTTGTGGCACAGCGTATATTAAATTAGTGCCGATGTACGTGTAGAAGGGCCTAAGGTAGACCTACCTTTTATTATACTGATCGATTCAGAATCATTTTCTGAGCCTGTTTGAAGCAATTTTTGGGATATTTTGATGAAATTAGTTACACTGACGTACTTTGCCCCAGAACGAAAGCTATTGAAAATGGTTCGAATCAGAACACTTTTTCGAATACTCCCTACAGAAAGCCATTATCTGAGAAGTCGTTGTATGGAAAAATTTGCAATTTTCAAAATTTTTTGATAAAAGTGACTAAAAAGTGGTATTTCTGCTTTTTAAATCGGTGTGAAAGCTTTGGACGTGCTCAGCGGAAAAGTTGAACGAAACCAAAAAAAGGGGAAAAATCTTGGACACCCGTCTCATAGTGCAGACTGTGGAAGTTTTTTTCTTTAAGAAAAAGTTGATGGATATTAAAGATTCGACGGATAGATCGGATGGATTTTCTGGTAAAAAGCTAAAGTAATTGCGGTCTACTAATTTATGTGATAAAGCACTAAATGGGCCCACCTCTTATTATACTAATATATCTACAATCATTTTTTGCAACAATTTTAATTTATCTGCTTGTCTATTGGTTTGGCTGCCTCGCTCTACATTGCTTGTTAACGAAACTTTGTCTTCGACCTGTTTTAATTAGACTTTCTAGGATTTTCAGTGAATATCGCTAAGCTTTACAAGAATTTTATTTGTGAATTAAATGCTTAGCATCTCTGTCGTGACTGCTTACAGACTGATAAATAAAAATCTGAGTGCTCTATTTTAGGTATAAATAAGCAATGAAGGAGTAGGATGTATTTTAATTGTACTGTGCTTATATTAATTTTGTAAATTTAGTTTCTCCCGCTCCCTACATCATAATTTTTATTACTTACATCTTTTTCTGCCAGTTTTGACATTTTGAAACCGTTCCTATAGGTTTCCTGCACTGGCATAGAAATCATTATGTTATATAAGTTGCTGCCGCAACTAAAAATATAATAAGCCTATCCAGTCTTGCAGGTACAAGAAGCAAAACAAGCATGCAGTAGATATCAAAAGGTTCGGTCCAAGTAAAAGTTTCTTTTTGCTTTATTTGAGTTGGTTGTCCTTGAGTTTAAAAAACGTTAAGCAGCATCATAACTTACACATTCTTTACGACGTGTTAATTAGATTATATGAAAGTTGTTGGGAATTGAAGTGTGACCTTAACAGCACAAGGCAGTGATTTCAATTTGTTTCTCCAAATATAATCTGAATCCTCTCAACGGAGTGCCTGCTTTGAAGAATAATATATGTGTCTATTTATGCCCTTTTCGTGACTTAATAAAGATGTCCCAGTACGAAAGAATACTATTAGAAAGAATATATGTCGGATAAAAAATAAGCAAAGTTCTAGCTGTGATTTGTGAACGCGATATGATTCATTGAAAACAGTTTTATACAAGAAATAACATGCTATGGAGCCATTAATGGGAGGTCGCAAAAAATACCTTTTCAAAAATATTAAAAATATTTGTTTTTTATAAATCCGTCGCATTAAGCGAGATTCGACTTTACTGTAAATTAACTTTTTGTAACAATAATAAAAAAGCTCGTTGTACAAAGTTTATGTTGTATTATACATTGTTATGGTTTTGTAAGCAAAAACTTCTTTTCCATGTTAAGACTTATGATGAAAAGTTTATTTTTGAATTTGAAGAGTAATTTTCGTTCCATTTATAACATGACATACAAGAATAAATTGCACAACACCTAACTTACCTGCCTAATATCTAATAAGTAATTTTGCGAATTTTATAAATAATATTTCTGTATCGCTCGAAGATACCTAATTGAATTAGTTATGCTAAAAAAAGAAAACAAAATCGGAAAATGAAAAAACCGGGCCTGCGGTCTATGATCCGAGGTATCGGAAGGCCATATCGATGAGACATACTCTCTCCATATGCCAAGCAGAAGTTTACGCAATCTCCGCATGTGCCTCTAAATGCTTAAGGGGAGAGCAGATCTGCATATACTCTGAATGAATTAGGCAGATGGAATAACTTTCACCTAATATGGGTGTCTGGCCGTTCGGGTATTGAGGGCAACGAAAGAGCTGACTGTCTAGCCAACGGGGGAGCCGGAGAGATTGTGCTAGGTCCTTAAACTTTCTGTGGCATACAAAGAAGCCATATTAACCGACTAGTGTCGTAATGGGCACAGAAGAAATCGGATTGCTGCTGGAAATAATGCGCAGAAGAACGGCAGGCAAGAAAAGTCGTAATATCTTCCGGTATGGCAAATAAACCACTGGAGTAAGTAGGTCGCTTCACCTACCTTCACGCTCTTCTGCACGGGTCATAATTACCTCAGGTGCCGTCTGAAAAACATGAATATGTCCGATACTGATTCATGCAGATTCTGCCAAGGGGCAAGGGAGACGACCTATCATATTCTATGTGAA